CTCCTCCTCATGCACCCCAGGATCCCATTGGCCTTCTTGGCAGCCAGGGCACGCTGCTGGCTCATGGTCACCCTGTTGTCCCCCAGCACTCCCAGTCCCTCTCCGCAGAGCTGCTCCCCAGCAGGTCACCCCCAGCCTGTACTGGTGCCTGGGGTTATAGGATAACGCTGCTGCCTTTACGTAGCCCGTTTCCTCGCTCCCGCTGCTTAACGATGTCTAACTCCATTACCACCCAACACATCAACGCGCCGTACGGCGAGCAAGCGCGCCGGCCACCCCAACGCAACCTGCGGAGGAGCGCAAGGCATCGAACAGGGAACACCTGGAAAACCAGCCAAGTCGGGAAGGATCCCGGGCAAATATAGGTCTCCCCGGAGTATCTTTAGATTAGCAGGCGGCTCTGCCCCCACCGAGACCCCAGGATTTACCTAAATAGCTCCCTTCATCACAAGCAGCCCAGCGTTCGCTGCTATTTTAAGCCAGCACCCTGCCCTACTTCCGAAGGAGCAGCCCGCCTTCTCCCGCCCGTGCATCCAAGCGAGCACCGGGAACGTCGCAGCTCGAGGAGACGAATTCTGCCCAGCTCTGCCTTCTCTTATTAAATGAAAAATACTATTTCAGCACGGCACCGAGCTAACAGGGGCTCATTTGTTTTAACTGCTACAGAACGGACCCTCTGAGCAGCCAGCACAGCCTTGAACGGGGGGAACCTCTCGCTGGCTGACATCCAGATAGCGGGGAAACAGAAAAACCGCATTAAACGCGGGGGGCTCGACCTGCCCTCCTCTCCGTCCCACCTCCAGCGCCGACCTGAAGCATCTGGTGTTACTCTCAGAGGAAATAAGTAAAACAACCAGCCCAGTCTGCTTTCCCCGACACCTTATCGCAATTTTCTGAACGGGTTTTAGTACCCAAGGTAGCGCTGGGGTTTAGGTTTGGCCACCGGCGGTGGCACTGCTGTTCATGAGCACGGCAGAGGAACATCTCTGCCACCGGCCATAAAGAAACCTGGCTCTGGGGAGTTTCAGACCCAGAAACGGGGTGCCACTGGCTCTGTTTGGCGCAGATGAGGGCTACAGGAAGCATGGAAGAGCTGAGCAGCTTGCGTTGCCCCAGGAGGTCTGCAGAAGGGCCGCTCAGCGCCGCGTTTGACTTCGGATTCATTTCTGGATGAAGTGCCACATGATCTGGCAGAATCAGCACCAATTCTGCAACAGCCGGTCTCGGCGCAGGCAGAACCATCCCGTTCACAAATAACAGAGCATCCCTCCTGCAAGAAAGACCCCCAGACTACCAGGGTCCCAAGTAAATCGGAGAGCTCCTGTGGGGTTCCTGCTGTAAGGGCTACCCGCGCTCCAGACCTTCTTGAGCTCTGCCCAGACGAGTTGCTGCACCATGACACAACTTGCTTTTTAGAGATCCCACCACCGCATCTTGACTCAGGCGGCATTTGCACTTTTCCTCTGGCGTGCCTGAGGTCTGAGAGCATGCACCTTGGCCTTTTTATCTCCATTTTTAGCCATTTTCACAGCTCTTTCCCCGCCCCCAAGTATTCCTTGTTAGCTACAAAACGGCACCACTAAACAAGACAAACCAACTGAAGCATTAAAGACAACAAACACGAAACGAAGAGCAATCGCAGTGACGCCACTCCGTATTTCTTCTTTTCAACAACCACAATTTCCCTTGTATTTAAGATTCGCCTAAGCCCTCCTTTGCTTCGCTTGCAGTTACGAAGCTACTCTGACTTTTGTATCAGCGTGCTCAAGACCCGCCTGGACAAGGTCCTCTACAACCTACTGTAGGTGACCCTCCTTCGGCAGGAGGGTTGGACTAGATGACCCACAGAGGTCCCTTCCAACCCCTACCATTCTGTGATTCTGATTCTGTTACAAAAATTGTGCACAGCTCCCAACTGGAGCAAGCCCAATGCTCAACCACCCAACTGCATCTCAGCAGTAGCAGCTTCTATTAAAAACAAGGTAAGCAGCAAGCTACACATTTTTCACAAACTGAAAGCATCTTCAGCCAGGAAGATGAGCTAGCACACCCTCTGAACCCTATCCACTCGGCAGCAGCGCGGGGGAAGCTCTTCCAAGCCTCTGAAGACAGCATTTATTCATCTGATGCCGGTTTTTGGCTCCCCAGAGGCACGGCTGCTGTTGAAGGCACCGGGAGCCTCGCTGAACAAATCCCGCGGGATCGGACTCCGTGCCTCCCGCCGCATCTCCGCCCCGCTAC